TAGGTTGCGGCGCGGTCACGGAGGCCGGCAAGGGTCACGTTTCCTCGGGAGGAAAGATGTGCGGGAGGGGTCGGGCGAGCGATTGGAACCTTTGAGACCAGGAGCTCTTGTAGCCCAAGCCCATCGCACGCACTGGGAAACATGTCCAGTGAGGGGGTTGGGCTGGCGCGTGTTTATCCCCGGGTTCCCAGATGTCCTGCCCCCAGATAGGACCAGGGTCTGGGACCGGTGCCAGCGAGGCTAGAACCAGAGTTTAACACCAACAACTGGGAGCGATTAGGATCAAACTTTGTCCAGGGTGAGAGCGGGCGGCAAGCCTGGGCAAGCGGCCGTGTGGTTGCCCGGGCTCTGTGCAAGCACTGGCCTTGGCCTTGGGATAAAGTCCGACCCGGTTTCCTTGTGGGCGTTTCAAGGCTTTCGGTGATCCGGCCCGGCTGTCATTCATTCATCATTCATTTAACTTTCACTCAATACAGTACTAGGCACTAGTACTAGGTAGAGAAGTGATCAAGACAGACACTATTCCTACGGTACAGGGAAAGGTAATGGGCTGTAGATACCCTGGGCGAAGAACAGGGATGGCTTCGGAAACGAAACCATGAACGCTGGTCACGAGTGGTGGGTAGTGTACCAAATAGAAAACAGCATGTGCCAAGGCCTGGACGGGGAAGAGAGGCTGGTGTGTATCCTGGTCACTGAAGATACCTCACTCTGAATCTAAGTGCCCAGGGAAGAGATGACGGTGACGGGGCTAAGCTACTAAAGGTGGAGATGGAGAGAAATCAAGGAATTCAAAGGGCTATACGAGTATATTTGTATGTCTGACTCCAGAGCCTTGTTCTTTACTGTGAGTGCCCTCATCTATCTCTCACCCAACAGGGATGTTGTTAGGATCCTCGAGATCACGTGCTTATTCTTTCAAAACGTGCTGAGGCTGGAAGACTTTCATAATTGGTCTAGCACCAGCTCTGTCATGGGGAAAGGGGGACAGAGTTGAATGTGATGGAGGTTAGCTATCATTCTTTTAATGCTTTCTGGGGACCACTGAGTTGGGCAGCCATGTTCTGTTCTTAAAATTTAATGACAATAGGGCAGAACAAAACGAATGACTGGTGTTTCCAGATTTTTACCCAGGTCTCCTTTAACTCCTGAGCTGCAGAATGAATGAGTATCAAGGTGTGAGTTGGTACACATACCTGTGCCTCTGGGCAGTCGGACTCCTCCTCCCGTTACATCGGGCACTTGGATTTCAGTTGTTTCTATCCTGCTAATGTGATTTTTCAAAAGTATTTTGTCTTTTGGTGCTGTTATGTCCATATATAAAATACAATCATTTCCTGCTAGTAAGTTTAGTATAAGAGAGTATATTAGTCCATTTCTGTTCCTTATAACAAAATATCTGGAACTGGATAATTTGTAAGAAAACAAAATTTATTGCTTACAGACAGTTTTGGAGGCTGGGAAGTCCAAAGTCCTGTGAACACATCTGGTGAAGGCCTTGGTGGTGGTGACAGTGACCCAGGGGTTTCACATGACAGAAATGGCAGAACAAAGAGAGAGCTAAACTTCTCAGCTGGCTCCTTTTAAAGCCCTCAGAATCACATCCATGACCACCTTTATTTATTTATTTATTTTTTGTCTTTTTGTCTTTTTTCCATGTCCGGCAACGGATTGCAACCCTCAGTGTTGCCCCGTACCGGACCGGGGACC